AGGTTGTGAGTTCGAGTCACCCCAAGAGCAAGGTGGGGAGTTCTTAGAGGGAAGGATGCCGATGGTCTATTTGGAAACAACCTCTCTACCCCAGGGTAGGGGTAAGGTCTGCGTACACACTACCCTCCCCAGACCCCACTAGTGGGATTATACTGGGTTGTTGTTGTTGTTGTTGTTACAAAAGGTACCAAGTGTAAGGGGCTATCTAAGATTTTTGCCAAAATTAAATTTATGTAATTAGGGGTTAAACTTAGTTAACAACAATATCTCTAGATGCAGCTTTCAAGGGTGCAATAAACAGTAGATGGATTCGGTCAGATAGCAATATCAATATGCAATAACTGTTCTAAAAAGCATGAGCAACAATGTAGCATTTAATATCAATGAATAACAATAAATGACATTTAAGTAAATAGGAGGAATGATTCACCCAATAAATGATGAAATAGATGGATGTTCCTCCTGACAATGATGAGTGACTGACAAATCCTTGAATATTCGAGTTATTCTCGGATCTGATGGAAAAGTATGGAATAGTATAAACGAGAATCTTAGTGAAAATGTGGTGTTTGTATCTTAGTAAGAGAGAGAAAATCTTTTTGGCAAAGTGTGTTCTTACAAATGAAAATTACATGCCCCTATCATTGTCTCTTTTTTCTATATATGTGGGGCATACTCCTAAGAAATCCTAATAGTACAAATATAGAGAATATCCTCAGAATATTCTCCTTTAATATCCTATCCTGAAAAACTAGCCGTTACAGCTCTTATCAACGATATTCGACCTCGACCCTTGTTGACGTCTCGACTACGGCTCTTGTCGACACTTCGACCGGGGACTTTGCTGCCTCTTGTGTCATTTCGACTAACGGCGACTCGAGAACTCTTCCTTTAATATTATCTTGACTTGAATACTCTAGAGACAAATTTTGACCCATATACATAATTAACATAATCGAATATTTATAGTTTATTTTATAGTCAAAAAATAAATATTATAGAGAATGAGAAATAAATATTATAACGGGTAATTAAACTTTTTATAATACAATATTTAAAAGTAATATGTCCAAACATAAAGTTCAAAATCTAAATCATAATCTAAGTTCGAATGATGAAATTAATTTTTACTTGCAAATATATATTAAAACTTGAAGAAACAGTTTGCAATCAAAATACTACTTAGTAAAGTCGAGGAATAAGGGGTTATATTTTAAAGATGAAGAACGTGGCGTTATATAACCTTAGTATAAATAGACAAGTAAGCAAGCAAGGATGAAAGTGATAAATCAATGAATGAAAGAATCAAATTTTTTAATGTTTCAATCCAAATTGAAATTTCAATTTGGTTAAATCAGATTTTTCGGATTAATCCGAATAATCCACTCCCTTATTTTTTAAAATAGTTAAACTTTTTAAACGAAACTGTAACCTTAAATAATGTCTTATAAAATTTTAGACTGATATGTGAATCTATACTATATTAAAAGCACGAAAACCCTTAGCGAAATGTCGTTCGTCTTTTTTATCCTTTAAAATTTGATTTTACATTAGACAAAATTATTATTTACTCATTTTCCTAATATTTAGGACATAAAATTAAATAAATTTTTGGATATTATATCATTCCATATTTGGACTATATAAAAACTCCTAATATTTAGGAATTTCAAGTCAAGAAAAATTTAACTTATATAAATACATTACTTATTTCAATTTAGGAGAACTAACTATTAGCGTGTCATTACCGTTATCAATATGTTTCTTCCATAAGAAAAAGTAATTTAACTTATATAAATACATTACTTATTTCAATTTAGGAGAACTAACTATTAGCATACCATTACCGTTATATATATGTTTCTTCCATATAGAAAAAGTGATCTTTAACTTTTAAAAATTTAATCCCCTCACGTAAAATTATAGACATATAATTTATTTTATAAATATGACTATGTTTCTATCTCAAGACACAACTCGACATTTATAAAACTTAAAAATAGAAATAATTCCAACAATTTTATTTATTGAAAATCGACGGGGATTTTATTTGTCTTTGGACACGTAGAATTACTTTTGAAAACTATTGATTTGGTTATCTACTATATGTCAATTTTTAAATTAAATATATATTCTGAAAGTAGAGAAATACTATTAACGTTTTAGAATAAATCTAATAAAAAGTAATAATATTTAAAGTACCTAACAACATAAAAATTTATGGAGTAATTATGTGAAATTAATTGCCCATAGAGTTGAAATTGGTTGACATATCCACTTTTATACATTTAAAAAACTAAATTATTCCTTCAACAAATAAATCTATGTTAAAAATTAAAATTAATACTTAATTTTTATTCTAATATTTAGATCTATTAAACAAATTAAATTCTACCATAATTTTGATGGAATGCGATTTATGGATCATACATTTGCATTAAAAGAATTTGATATATAAAAATCCGAAATTGTAATATGAGTTGACATTAATTTTTAACCCTTCATAAATGCATTTTATGTCAATAACAACAACAACTATGCCTCAGTCCTAACTCCGCCTCTGTGAGATCGCGTACATTGGCTGTCCCAAGCTAGCATAAAGGAGGACAATTACGGTAGGCAGCCAGCCAGCGTAAAACTTGCTAATTCATAATGAATTCATGTAAGATAAAATCATAATTATAATTAATAATTATGTTTTGACATAACTAAAATTTAAAACTTTGAGGACTTCTATAAGGACAGAGCTTCTTCCTTTATTGAGATAGTTAAATAAAATCGACAATCATCATTCTCATAATTTTATATTATTTTTTTTTGTTATCTTTTACTTATATAACTCAAAACTTTAAGATAATGCTTATGAGATTTTTTTAAATCTTTTATTTTTTCAGACGAGGTTCACGCGCAATGCGCGTACTCTAAGACTAATACTATATTAAAAGCACGAAGGCCCTTAGCGAAATATCGTTCGCCTTTTTAACCCTTTAAAACATGATTTTATATCGGATAATCTTGTCATTTAGCGCTTCTCCAAATATTTAGGACATTAAAATCAAATAAAATTTAGTTTATTAAATTTTTTCTTATTTAAATTAGGCCTTTAAAATCAATTAAAATTTTTTCTTATTCTAACAAAAAGAGAAATAGAAAACTTAAAAAACTTACCTAACGTTAATTAGGTAAATATGGAAAATTGAACAATTCTAATTTATTGCAACATAAATAACGACAAAAGTGAATATGGTTTCTTTAATTAACTATAAAATTCTAACAATTTATGAAGATTAAAGTGGCCGATCTCTTATTTAATTTAAATAAGGTTAAATTGGTTCTCTAATATCGGTAAAGCCATATCTTCCCATTGCAAATAACAATAGTAAAACATGTACACGTTTATGACATAAATAGTATATATAGGTTTTTAAAATTATATCTCACTCACTTTAAATATGATTTTGAGCATTCATTATTTTGATTAAATTACTGTTGTTCTTCTTTAGTTTTATCATATTTATTAATTCATGAAAATTGAAAACTATACGTTATTCTATAGATTACTGTCAGTATTTGTCCGTTATTTTGTACATATTTCTTCAACGTCACAAAAAGATAGTTCTTGCTTTGAAAGAATGCCCAATCAAGTGCCATAAAAATTTGATTTTGGTAGCAAAAGATATGACCATCAAAATCAGTTTGTATGTTATACTCCCGGGTAATTTTTTAAATTTTCATTTGTCTTTTTGTATTCCTAAAAGGAGTGAACTTATTCTACTTATGTTCTGATTTTAACTTCAAGAGTAATTTTCTTCTCATTTGGAAAGGTGAAATTAGAATCTCACTGCCATAAGTTTACTCTCTTTTGGGGATGGCAAATAGAATTGATAAAAAATTAGAAAAAAATAAATAAAAACTTGTTACTTGCATGTTTCTTTGTAAAAGTCTAGGTGAGGATTGTTCAGTCAATGTGTTTTTATATTGACTTTTTTAATAATTTATTTATATTTGGTTTAGACCAAATCTAAAGTCAGTGGGCAAATAAGATTAAATTGTCATTACAGTTAGTTTTCTTTGTATTTTTTATTTGTTTATACGTGTATGTTTATTTTTGATTTGTTTTACAGTAATTTGTTTAGGTTTTTCTTATTTAATTTATAATTTGTCTAGGTTTAGTTTAGAATGAATACCAAAGTTATTGAGGAGTCCAAACCTTATGGTCATTAAGAAATTCATTAACTTTAATTTGTTAAAATTGAAATAACAATGTATTATATGGAAGCTCACATAGCAAACTTTAAATAACAATAAATCATATGAGAAAAGAGAAATATATAAAAAGAGATACAATAATATAATTTGGTCACCTGACCTATATATGAGCAATTCACCAAAAAAAAATAGTACACAAACATTTTCCTCCAAAAAAGGAATGACCAAATAAAGAATAGATTATATTTTTCTTTTAAGAAAGTAACAAAATAATTGTGGCAAATATTTGCCCATGCTTCAAAGGAAAATTAAAACTTAAATATAATAAATTAGGTCAGAAGCAACAACATAACATATCATTATTTTATACAATAAAATATGTATAATTATAATTACTACTAAATAACTAACTCATTTCGTACGTGAAGATTTTGAAAATATTCAATTACTTTGAATTCATCTTGTCTTAACGTAAAGTATTTATTTTTTATTCAAAAAATTATTGCATATATCTCAACATCAATTATTATTTCACATAATTTATTTTTATTCTTTATTACGTAAGATTTTTTAATAATAGACACAAATTACACGTACACCGAAACTAGTAAAATAAAAAGGCAAACTCGCAGACGAAGAAGTGTATGTAGAATTGATAAGAGACCGCATATATTGCATGCAATGTAAAGGGTAAGACAGGTGTCTTTGTAAGAGAACTGTTTGGTTTCATCACACAACAAAATGTTAAAACCTTAGACAAAACCCCATTCTCATAACAAGAAGCTAAAATTTGCAAGCTAAGTTGTTTTCACCTCTGAGTATCAATATGTTGCTTTCCCATGTACCCACAAAACAAAACAACACCTCAAATCAGCCTTCTTCACCACGTGTTAGTGCTCACTCAGTACTACTAGCTCAGCACTCAGCACCATTATAACGCCTATTCTCATGGGTTTTCATTCTTTTCTTGATTTTTGCTAGAATTCATGTCCATTTGTTACTCTCTTACCCTCAATTCTGCATTTTGCAGTGATGGGGTTCTTCCATTTCTTGAAAACACAGCTTAGTAGGAGTTTGCAGCTCAATTTGAGTGCCATTTCTAACTATGTCAATGCCTTCATTTCTTCATCGATTGTAGATTGTAAAGTTAGACTCTTGAGTTCATTCGCTTCAATTCTTGGGTTTAGGAAGCTGTGTTTTCTTGAACCAGAAAAGTGTTCCCCAGTGAGTACTCAATCATTTGAATCCAATGTTGACAAGAAACAAGAAAATGCTGTTTCTGCTTATGAAAAGGTTATTGAGAAGCCAAAGCACAAGAAAACCAACAGGCAGCCTAAGGAATGGAGGTGTATAGATAACTGCTGTTGGATAATTGGATACTTGTGCACAACTTGGTGGCTACTTTTATTTCTATGCAATTTTGCGCCTGCCATTTTGCCAGGACTTAAAGTTCCTGAACCTCCTGGGGTTAGACTCAAACGTGAAAACTTGACTGCTCATCACCCTGTAGTTTTGGTGCCTGGGATTGTAACTGGAGGTCTTGAGCTTTGGGAAGGTAGGCCTTGTTCTGAAGGCTTATTTCGTAAGAGACTTTGGGGTGGTAGCTTTGCTGAAATATTCAAGAGGTTTGTGTTGTAACAGTAAAGTCACAAAACTATTCTTCTTTTTTGTCACATTGAAGTAATTACCTTTGTTGAAAATGTTTTCTGCAAATTTAATTAGGCCTTTATGTTGGTTGGAGCACCTATCTTTGGATAATGAAACAGGGCTTGATCCACCAGGGATTCGAGTCCGGGCAGTGACAGGATTAGTAGCAGCTGATTATTTTGCTCCTGGTTATTTTGTTTGGGCTATTCTTATTGAAAATTTGGCAAAGATTGGATATGAACAGAAGAATATGTACATGGCTTCTTATGACTGGAGGTTATCCTTCCAAAATACAGAGGTATGTCCTTCCTCTGCTTATTTTCTTTAGTCTAACTTGCTAATGTTTCACTCAAGATATTCTCTATCTCATTTCTAGAATAACAGATGCATAAATTAATTCCTTCATTTAAGTATTTCAGGTTATCATAGTCAAATGTGTAGACCAATAAATGCCACTTTTATCATCATTTATTAGGCCAGTATTTTCTTTTCCTTTTTCCTGCAGCATTATCACGTTTAGTTTGATTGTCCCCTTGATAAGTACTCAACAGAAATTGGTCTATAATTCCACTACATTGATTTCTGCAGTAGTTGTAACAATAAGTACGCTTCAATCCTAAGCAAGTCGTGGTTGGCTATATGAATTGTAACTGTATATGTCACTCTAGTTACATTAGTAGTTGTAAATATTTTTAAAAAAACATATCTATATCGAATGAACGAAAATGAGTTTCTTTCTTCCATTTGGTTGAAAGAGTAAATCCGACTGTTTGAGGTTTCTTGAGGTGGTTGTCCTTCTTGAGGACATTGTCACTTGTCTCGAATTTAGATAGAGATCATTCTAATGTATCTGTTTATTTGGAAACAAGCAGATCAGAGACCAATCTCTGAGCAGGCTAAAGAGAAAAATTGAGCTTTTGTATGTAACAAATGGTTACAAGAAAGTGGTGGTAGTGCCTCATTCAATGGGAGTTATCTATTTTCTCCACTTCCTTAAATGGGTTGAAGCGCCTCCTCCCATTGGAGGGGGTGGTGGCCCAAATTGGTGTGCCAAGCACATCAAAACAATCATGAATGTTAGTCCAGCATTTCTTGGAGTTCCAAAAGCTGTGGCCAATATATTGTCTGCTGAAGGAAAAGATGTTGCCTTTATCAGGTTTGTCTTCAGAACCCAAAATTCTGCGGTGGAACTTTTCTATCATCTATGTTTATTTGGCTTTAAAATTGAAGGCATTGATGAAGCTGAAATTGATTCTTTTCCACCGAATACCTTTACTTTTGCAGAGCCATGGCTCCTGGTCTGTTAGACTCTGAGACCTTTGGTTTCCAAACCCTTCAACATGTTATGAGAGTATTTCGAACATGGGACTCTGTTGTTTCATTGCTACCGAAAGGAGGAGAGACAATCTGGGGCGACCTGAATAGGTCTCCAGAAGAAGAAAATGTATGTCATTCAGCAAAGACACAATACTTGCAATCCTCTTCAAAGGAGAATAATGGAAATGATACCGGCCCTCAGAGGACTTCCGTAGTAAAACAGCTTGCGAAATACGGAAGATTAGTTGCATTTGGGAAGGCAGCATCTGAGTTACCTTCTTCACAGCTCTCTTTTATTGATCCAAAGGTAAAAGGTTACGAGTTCCACCTTTTGTTTGATATTTCATCTGGACATTTTTGATTTATCATTCATTATGGCTCGTATAATTGCTCTGATAGAACGCACTTGATCATACTTGCATCATATCCCCTTTAAATGTGGCTAACAATGAAATGATAGGTTTTGCATATCGCGTACATGACATCTTCTAAGCTTTGACTCCATTTTAGAAGCTATAATTGACCACATAAAATATAACGATTGCTGATTGCTGTTGACATGTATTACTGGATTATGAACATAAGAAGAGAACCATTAAAACTTTTAGATTTAATTGACAGTACACAATAACAATGCCTGAATCCCAAGCTAGTTTGGGTTGGCTATATGAATCACCACTCTCCGAAGGTTTACTAGACGGTAATAGTAATAAGTCTTTTGTTGTTTTTTCCATTTCAATGCTACTTGCTCTGATATGTACGGAATAATTTTTTTTTTCCCTTTTGTTAGGGAACTAGGGAAAATTTCACAGAATAAGTAATGGTTTTCACTTTCCTATCCGTTTTACTGACTACGCATGTGATGTTGAATAACAACAGGAATTCGTGCATGAAAGTGCGCCCATTTCCAGCACATCATGTGAAGAGTTGTTGACAGAGTATGATGAGATTAGTCGAGAGAGCATCAAGAGAGTGGCAGAAAATGAAGCATACACAGCAAGAACTCTCATAGATCTTCTCAGATTTGTAGCACCAAAGATGATGCAGCGCACTGAAGCACACTTCTCTCATGGATTAGCAGAAGACTTAGAAGATCCCAAGTATAGTCATCACAAGTATTGGTCAAATCCACTTGAAACCATGTAAGTGCGAATAAGTAGCAAATCTATTAGTGTATAACTTCATTTCCTGTTCATTGTTTCCTCCAATTCACCTGAATGCCCTTGCTTAGTCCCAGTGCAATAAGTCAATCCTATGCTAATAAAAGTTCCATTTTCAGGTTGCCAGATGCTCCGGATATGGAAATTTATTGCTCATATGGAGTGGGAATTCCCACTGAAAGATCATATGTCTACAAGATGTCACCGTCTGACCGATGCAAGAGCATTCCTCTTCAAATTGATTGCTCTGCAGATGGAAGCGATAATGGCTGCTTGAGTGGTGGAGTGTACTTTGTCGACGGCGATGAGAGCGTGCCAGTCGTGAGCGCTGGCTTCATGTGCGCAAAAGGATGGCGAGGCAAGACACGTTTCAACCCCTCGGGGATTGCTACTTACGTGAGAGAATACCAGCACAAGCCACCAGCTAGTCTGCTAGAAGGGAGAGGCACAGAAAGTGGTGCTCATGTTGACATTCTGGGAAACTTAGCCTTGATCGAGGATGTTCTACGTGTTGCTGCTGGTGCCTCAGGTACAGAGTTAGGTGGTGATAGGATTTATTCGGGTATCATGGAAATGTCGGAGCGGATAAATATTCGGCTATGACAGCAAAGCAATTTTTGATAGATGGATGAAGAACAAAGTAAGAGTCAGATAAAAGAGTTTACAAAATATAGGAGAAGAGATGAGTGCACTAGCGTTGTTATTAGCTTTACAGAACACTTAAACAAACGACTTAAGACAGAACCTCAGGAAGGAATCAGGACATATGAAGTGTGAAATCAGTAAGGTGGGAGTCAGTAGGGTAACTATGCTAGTCAAAGCAATGATTCAATGTAAATGAATCAAGAATTAGGTCCAAAATGATGTATCATAGTGTTTTTGTTAATATGACTTTTGATTTTGGGGAAAAGAAAAGAAAAGATGCTGCTTCAATACATGCTCATGTCAATAAAAACAACGACAACAAAAGCTGCAGAGGTTAGTGTGTACAAAGACCATAACCCTATCCTGAGAAGTAGAGAGGTTGTTTCTGATAGACCCTCAAGAAAAATGAAAGAAACAATAGATTCAATGCATGCTCATGTTACTATTGGGAATTCATGGTTGTATATTTTGAATGTCTTGGTTATGCCTTTTAACATTGGCCTAATGGAGCATCTCCTCATTAAACTAATGCGGATTTGACTTCTAAGTATAAATGAGTCTGACTGATCTTAGATAGTCAACAATTTCCTTCATGTGAGGTTTTCCATTTGGTAAAAATATTAATAATCCTAATAATAGAGGAAAAAAGGCGTCGTTTTGCTGATGCAATTTATGTAAGTTGCAGTTTTAGTACCTGAATAAGTAAGATTTGAGTTAGAAATGAGTAAAAACTTGGCACTTCAAACTGTTTGATTACAGTTTTGCCCATAATGGTCCTAGTGCAGGCACTCTCTTTCTCATTTTCAATGATTCTTTTGACAGAACTTCTTCTGCAATTTTCTGTACAAGATAATTGTCATCTTCACACTTCTTGAATCTGCTGCTCTTTATTTGCTTTGTACTTGATTTCCAGTAGCCGAGTGTCTTCTCTAAGCAATAGTCGTAGTTTTCCGCATTCACTTAACAGAATATGCACAGCAGTTACATCAAGGAGAAGTTGTCTATTTTGTTGTTTCTGTGCTAATGACTGCACTAAATGTCTTTGTTACTTGGAGTCAGAGCATATAAAGCATTATATTGACTTATTGAGTCATTGAGTACACTTTTGAAGCAGCAATCAGATTCATAATTCTGCTAGTGGCAATCAGGGTAGCATTTCTGACTTTTGTAATCTACTAGTAATATATTCTTAGCTTCTCTGATTCAAAAATTGATTAGGTCTGAGCTGTGTAATGAGCACAGATCCAGTGTTGCAAGTTCTTCGCCAAATTTCTGTCTTGAATTACACTGACCTAGCACTTCAGTAAACATCTGCTGGGGCTTTACTCGTGAAAAGTTAAGCTGTTTTCTGCTGATTACAAAGGTAGAGCAGTAATTAGGAGTTTGACTATCACTTTAAACGTTAACACTGAAGAAATACTTATATGCTTATGATGCAGAGTGGACTTGTTTTGTTTTTCTACCAATCTTGTTCCAATCACGAGATTGACAGGCAAGAACTTGACTTGCTTGGATTCAAGGCGAAAACAAAAATATTGGCCCTAAACCTAAAGCTTTAGCAAGATTCGATGAACCTAATCAAATTGAGCAATTTGTAATTACTTGAGTACCGTACCAAAGTTTCTTTCACCGAACAAAATTCATTCTTCTCATATACCCTCTCCAAGTTCAAAATATCAAACGAGGTTTGACATATCTTTTCTTTCAGATAAGACCAGATGAAAACAAGGTTTATATTCTACGGGAAAAAGCAAAAATAAAAAAATAAAAAAAAAAAAAATCAAAATTCCCACTACCAACGAAAAAATTGTCTCCTCGTGCCTTTGCTCAATCTAACTGCTTGGGACAACCAAAATTCTGCAAGCCTGGACTGGACAACAAGGTAAAGGAAATCGTATCAGTGGATCCACTGAGGATAGGAGTTTCGAACTGTTGGAAAGANTTTAAATCCTAATCTTATGGCAATCTTAGGGTTAAAATCATGTCATGACAAGCAATAAATAAAATCTAAGGAAAATTTATTCGCAGAACAAAGCTTGTTCTTTCCACAGTACACCTACAAGTCCAAAAAATCTGTCAGGTATAAACAAAGCAAGTGTGAGATCATTTTCTTCTCATAGAAGACTGGAGAAACAGGTTCTAAAGTCTGTGTATGATATAACAAGTAACAGAAAAGATAACAGAAGAAGAATGCTGGACCCAGACAACAAAGTTGGGTTGTGAGAACGTCCACCAGTAGTGTCCTGCTCAATTTCATCACGATCACAGATGCAACCTCGTCAATGGTGTTGACACAGAGCCATTAATCATGACGAAGTCAAGCATCTGAATGATCAACATAACAGAAAATTAGGCAAGCTGCACAGCGCTCTGGGATTCTCCTACAAGATTTGTTGAACGGAATGCCGATAGCCTCCAGATGGGACCATCGTAATGAAAACGTTCTCAAGCTACTTAAACTACCTGTAGCCATCAGTGATAACTCCCAAACAGCTAGCAGCCACAAACCCTAAACACCAAGCTGCAAGAAAGGTTAATCCAATTCAATCAGCACCATGAATTACGAGTGAAGAAGAAAAACTTCTCAAAGTTTCTAAACCAAGCCCACACTTGTATCCCATCTAATAACATCAGTCAAAACCGCATTCTCCGCGGATCCTTTCAGATGGATATCCTGATGTGAGGTGATTTGTTTTTCTGTATGACCCCGAGACAGCACAGATAAATGCTGGATGAGCATGGTGTCTTCCCTCATCATGTTAAGGCTTGTAAATAGTTGGTTTATTCATGAGCTCTCCTGCACTAGAACTGTGGGATCAGGGTATGTCATTTACAATTTTACATTGAAATGGAGATTGTCTAGTAACCTAAATAATATTCTTTTTCTTTCGTGATGTAGTAAACTATCAAATGCGGAACGAGAAAGAAAAAAAAATTCTGAATGTCGTAAGAAATAGATGGAGATGATAACGGAATACAATCAAGTTGCCATGTAGGAACAACAAATCTCAAGCATGTCTCAATTAATAAATTAATATAGGATGGTAACCTGATAAAAAGCAGAAAAGAACTCACTTGGTACATTTGTAACAGTAATGCAACATCTTATCAACATCTCCTTCATTCACATAGCATCCCTCCATAGAGAGATTTCCCTTCACTTGGCCCTCAAGGGTTCTCCATCGACTTAAAAGTTCAACAATTCCATTAAGCTACGTTTAAATTAAAGAAACCAGAGAATTTGCAACGATCAAGCAATCAATTAACTATGTCCCAATCCCAGACCAGTTGATTTCGGCTATACACATCCTCTATTCATTCCGCTCTACTAAGTTCCATTCCGTTTCAATACTATCAGAAGGTAACATCAGTTTAGAAAAAGAAATGTGGATTATCCAGTGAAGATCCGGTCGGAATCTCACTGGGCAGTGTTCTTCCTAGGAAAATCCTTTTTATCCAAAAAAAGAGAGAGTTCTGAATATATATCAAGAAGGATACAGCAAAGCTTCTTGCCGTTAATTTGGCGGATCTTTCATGGTCTTCACTGGTATCATCAACATCATAATTAAGAAGTTCATCCTCAACCACCTCAGATTTGCTTGTGAGAACTGAAACATACTGATGCAGATTTGAAGGACTCATCTCAGTTTTTTGAATTTGAATCAGTAACCTTGCAAGAATGCTCCAAACTGCACTTCGCGCTTCTATATCATCAGAAGCAAAAGGAAATACATCAAGTAGACCCTGTAAGAACAGCAGGTCTGAAATGATCCAAGTGTCATTACTGATTCGATAAGTTAGCATAAACTAAGGCCACATGAAGGAACTTAGGCATAGCATATACTGGTGTAATCATGAACTCTACCTTGTGATATCTCTAAAGTTAGATCAGCTGCATCAGTCAGAATATTTGCTGTCAAAACTGAAGCAGAAATGCAAGAGTTGGCAAACTGCAGGCAATGGATACATCAGAAAATAGCCGCTGCATAAGAACTCATATATTGCAGTAATATTTTTTCACCGCCTATCCTTTTACTTCCACATTTTTTCTCTCAAGTTGTTTGATGGATACATAACAAGGGTAAAAAATGCAAGATTAGGAGTTAGGAACTACAGAGAAATTTCCTGTATTTAATTAAAATAGACGGTGTGCTTTCCTTGATCTTTAGCTCAATTAACCATACTGAAGGATAAAAGCTCTGCTAGCTCCAACATACATCAGCTTTATCCGGAAGCTTGATCAATTGAGTAAGCAGCTGGAAGAGTCCCTTGTTTGAACAAATTTCTTGTGAATATTCATCCATGACCGAAAGAGCTTCAACTGTCTGAAGAATCAAATCTAGAAAGGAGTACCTGGTGTATCACATCAGTTGATTAGTTAACTGCAAGCATACTGGTTCATAATAGATGATAACTTAAAAGAAAGCCTCATGAATGACAATAACATTTTTTGGGGGTGGGGGTGGGGGGGAGGGACCACCAAAATGATGAATTACAATCTGTTTCTATAATATATATTTCCCAAGGCTTAGGCAGAGAAATACTTGGAAGGAAAAACTCCAAAATGTAGAAAGTCTGTTGACTGCACCTGGCAAGAGTCAACTTTAACATGGAAAAATATTAAAGAAAAGTAATCCTTTCCTTATTAAAAAAAGGGAAAAGGGTCAAAAATACCCCTCTACTATGCGAAAAGGATCATTTATACCCTCCGTTAAACTTTTGGTCCACCCTTACCCCTGACGTTACAGAAGTGGTGCAAAAATACCCCTCCTCCGTTAGGGCCCTCCACCATGGCCACCATCATCCCACGTGGACTGACATTTAGCTGAGGTGGACGCCACGTGTTATGCCATCTCACCATTCCAACTCCATTTTACCCCTCCCTCCGTGTTCTCTTCTTCCACCATTATCTCCCCCTTCACCCAAAAATAAATATTTAAATGAAAAAGTAAGATTTGTTGATTACTAATTTCTGCTGATTCTTAGAGGCATTTGATTTTTCATGCCAACTTATACTAATTTGTGTCAGAAATTCTTCTTGTTTTCTATAACGAATTTAACTTTCCATTCTGCCTGTGATTCATAGTTTTTCAGTATGCCGAAGTCGTGGGTACATTGGTACTATGATTTTACTTTTTATCCATGGTTTAGTTGTGACTATAGCCAGATATGAAAGGTTTTAGCTTTTTACTATTTAGGATTTGAATTCAATTATGATATGTTAATATATGGAACTTTTTGTAATAGTCGGATCTTGTTCTAGTTTAATGGTTCAAAATTAATGTGAGATGGGGAAATTTTGAAAGGAGATATGGCAGCAGTAATGGAATTATGGAAATAAGGTAGTGGTCTTTGTGATTTCTTTTTGAATTCAAAAAGAGAAAAAGAAAAATGGGGCTGGGATGGTGACGTGGCATGCCATTTGGCGTCCACCTCAGCAAAATATTAGTCCACGTGATGGTGGCCATGGTGGAGGGCCCTAACGGAGGAGGGGTATTTTCGCACCACTTCTGTAACGTCAGGGTAAGGGTGGACCAAAAGTATAACGGAGGGTATAAATGATACTTTTCGCATAGTAGAGGGGTATTTTTGACCCTTTTCCCTTAAAAAAATATATTAAACAAAGCTATCATATGCCAAGGACTAAAGTCCTGAAAATATGGATGGAATAATTAGCAATCATATCAAAGTGAATTTAGAATAAATTAAAATAGCCTCCTTGATTATTAAGGAACATACCTTTCAGGTAATCTTTCTTCTATTAACTTGCTTATCTCGACAGATAGGAGATCAACCAGAATTCGTGGGAGGCCTAACTTTATCAGTGGTGGTAGCAGTATCGTAGCCACATCTTGCTTACTTTCTGCTATTGCTAACAGAAGACTAATGCTCTGTGGACAAGAGAATATTACGTCACATAAACATAATGCAAATGCTGAGCAATAACAGCTAAGGGAATGAAACAAAGATCATAAAATACTAATATAAAAATATTTCAGAAGGGTAAAAGATGGTATTCAACAAAACTAATACATTAGGAACTTCAATCGACTCTATACATAGAACAAATTTTCCAGATACCATCATGCTACCATCCTTGAATGCACTTGATTCAACAGAAAGTCACTACGCTCATAAAGATAAAATACTTCTTCATATAACAAAAAGATTATCAATCTTTCACTACTTCTATAGAAGTAACTGGGTAGAAGCTCTATTATTCATGTCAGGGTTTGTTTATCAGAAAATAAAAAAAAAATATTTTGCAAGGGACCAATTAATTGGAATATAAACTATATTTCAGGTCTTGGGATTTCCAGGAGATCAGTAGTAATTCTCAGAACATATCACACTTGAAGATTAAGATGACAATCGTGAAAAGGTAGATGAATGACTAAAAAATAGACAATTCTGTTGATAGAGAATTACAGATCATCAGTAAGCCTATCAGAATATTACAGAACATCAATGAGTCTACCATAGAAATTTGGTGTTGCCATTCAGAGCCTTTATCAACTATATATTTCTCCTGCCCCACTTCCATTTAGTGTCTGTAAATCCCAACAATTTAATGCCAATATTTCTTCTTCATATACAATTTATATTCCAAATAATTATTCCTTTCTACTGTCATTTGTGTTGCTATTCTCTACGAAAGCACTCTAATATAAGCATTACTGTCATTTGTGTTGCCATTAACGTGTTGCCTTTCTACTGCTCACAAGTCTGTCGCTGGCATCTATTCCATATAGTGGTGAAAGCCAGAGATAAATAAATGCGGTATATACTCATCGAATAAGGAGCACATACACCACACTGTAAAATCGCAAGACCCCCAGATTCAAAAAAGTCAGAGCAAGCTAGATCAAATACAGGGAGAAGCTACATGGAAAATTGAAGTCAGTATCATTGCTACCTTCTCTTGAAGCTGGAGGTTCAAAGTGTTCTCTATGATCCATAAAACACGACATAAAATATGTTCGGATTGCAGTGCTTCCACCAAAAAAGCACTTTCTTCGCTTTGAAGAAATAAAGTTATCAGCCTGTGCAACAATGACAACTATAAGAAGAAGTTGATCGAGATAAAGCTAAGGCTATATGAAACTATGATACATCTCGTCACTTTTTCTCAGAAAAGAAAAATAACTTCCATGCATTACTATACTAAAACTATGATTTTTGTAAGCCAAACGTACAGGAATTCCAAAACTACATATTTTTGATTGTGCACCGGGTGTCCGAGTCTCTTTGAGCCCCGACTAATCCCGGGGGTGCACAGGCCCTCGGCAAGGAGTTTCCCGCAAGTGCACCACGGTTAATTCAGGTTTTACCCAGTCCGATGGCCCTCAGAAATTGTTTGCACCCAGTGGGTTTCGAACTTGAGACCTTGAAAGGGAGCAAACCCCAAGGCTCAAGTCAATTGCCACCAGGCCAACCCCTGAGGGTTCCAAAACTACATATTATCAGTTGCAATTAAGGGAAAATGACTTCCATGCATTACTATACAAAACAGTGCTTCCACGTTAATGGCAACAAGCATAACAATGCTATTCTCTACGAAAGCACTCTAATAT